TGTAGCCATCCCATTCTTGATAGAGCCTCTCCCCCGTGCTTCTACTAAATGATGGAAGGTGCCTTTCATCCCACTTCCCTCTTCCTAGAGAGTAGCAGGGAAACAGGCCAGGGGAGAGAAGTGTCTTGTCCAAGGACAAATAAGAACGCTCAGGAGAGTAGTGAAAATTAGAGCCTCAGTTCTCCACTTCTGCCTATAGCTTATAGAGCAAAGGCAATGTGTGGGAGTGTGGAGAGTCCCTGGATGCACCCTATGACCTTGAACATGGCTCTTCACCTTCTCAGCCTGTTTCCCCATGGCTTAAATGGATACAGTAAAAACTGGCTTTCCTTTTTTGGTTGCTGTTGTATGATGAAATGTGGTTTTGTAAGTGCCTATTGCTCCATGCAATAACTAAGCATGGCTGAGAATCCAGTTTGTTAAATTATAACAGCAACTCATCAGGTTAAAGCATAGCAGTATTCCTGTCACAACAACATACAGTTAAAACAACTGGGCCAGGAGGCCATGCAGATGAAGGTAACGGGTTGGGGGCTGACTGCATCTGGCCCTAGTTACTCTACATGGGGCACTGTAGCTTTGTGCCATCACACAATCACTAAACACTATTGTTTAGTTCATTTGTTCATTCTGGAAACATATATGTGAACTTCAGGTCAGTGACTAGAAAAATAAAATATATTTCAAGAGCCCATTTGCCAGGTACTGGGGATACAGAGAACAAGGTAAACAAAGTCCTGACTTCATGGAGTTTACAGTCTAAGGTGAAGACAATCATTAAACAAATAGTCACATAAAAAAACACATAATTACAAATTAGGGCAAGAGCCATAAAGGGAGAGTATAGGGTGCTATGAAAGAGTGTAATGGGAGACCCACTGTATATTGCAAGCCCTGGAAAAGCCTTTCTGTGAAGTGGTGTTAAACCTAAGACCTGAAATGAAAAGAAGGCCATTGTAATCGGAGTGCAGTAAGTAAGACAGAGTGTATAGTTGCTCTGTGCTTTTACTGTATAAGGTAACTGTTATCCATTGTTATATCATCCAACACAATTGTTAAAGATAGGTACCATAGTGTATACTACAGTTGCCATATATTGTTGCTATAAACTTTAGTATAGGCTCCATATACTCTTACTGTAAACCCATAGTCTGGTATCATATACAGTAGTCTAGTTAGAAAATGGTGCTGTTCTTTAACATAAAGAGCTTGATCTATCACGGTATAGTGGCCATCCATTGCTATTAAATTCTAGAGTGTACCTTCTCTAGTTCACTATAAATGCCATAGAATAGGTACTTGTATTATTAAATCTAAACTTAGCTGATGAAATCTGGGAAATCTCCCTGACCAACCTTCCTAGATTGGATTATATGCTTCTTTAATGTGGAGGAGTGAGGAGGAGGAAGAGAAGGAGGAAAAAATATTTATTTATAACTTACAGTGTGCTTAGCACTGTGCTTTAAATGCATTATCTCACAAAAGCCTCATAACTCTATAGCATCTCCATTTACAGATGAGAAAAATGAAGCTTAATGAGGCCATGTAATTTACTCAGGGTCATACAGCAGGTAGGTGGCAGAGCAGAATTTAAATCTGACCTGACACCCAAGTCCATTTTCTCAACCACTGACCTTTACTCCTTCCAAGCTCCTGCCTTCCCATCTCACATTGCAGGGAACTGGCGTGTTGAACCATCTCTCTAGCCAGCAGAGTGAGGTGCCTCAGGGCAGGCCTGTCTTTAGTTCTCCTCCCAGGGTCTGGCAGGCCTGGTGCTGGCTACAGAGAGAGTGTGGGACTGCAGAGAGGAGCAGGGCTAGATCAGGCACACCTGCATCCCTGCCCACTCCTCACAGGCCACAGACCTCAGGGGGATGACTTAACTTCTCTGAGGCTTGAGAGTCTGCACCTCCAGAGGGAGATGTTGAGAGAATGAAAGCAAACGAGCATGAGAGAGAGGCAAAGACCTGGCCACCTGTCTTCCAACATGTTTCCAGCAATTTGATCAGTTCCTGGGAAGTCTGGCTCTCTTTACTGCACTAGAATTCTGAGAACCAACCAACCAACCTTCCTTCCTTGCTTGCTTGCTTCCTTCCTTCCTTCCTTCCTTCTTTCCTTCCTTCCTTCCTTCCTTCCTTCCTTCCTTCCTTCCTTCCTTCCTTCCTTCCTTCCTTCCTTCTTCCCTCCCTCCCTCCCTTCTTTGCCTCCTTCCCTCTCTCCCTCCCCACTCGCCACCTTTCCTCCTGTACTCAAGCTAGATTGAGTAGATTGTTATTATTTGAATTTAGAAAAACTTTAACAAAGTTCCTCCATCACAGAATTATGAGGATTAAATGAGATTAGTGTGTGAGTGCTTCACAAGCCATTGGATTGGCAAGTAGAATTCTTGGAGTGGCATTTCCCAAAATGTGTTTCAGAAACCCTAACACTGGTTACAGGGAGGATGTGGACCCCTCTCACTTATCTTCGGGAAACACTGAGTACTACTTCCCCTCTTAGATTCCCTATGTTTATAAGCATATTCAAAATTCTGAAAAGTCATATTATAAAAGAACACATTTAACTTTGCTTAACTCTGTGTTTCCTAAACTTATCTGAACTCTGAATTTTTCCCTCCATACTGCCTTGCCAAGTCTTGCCAAACCGTAGAAGTATTGCTCTAGAGAGTAGTGTGGCTGGTCTAGGGGACCTCTAAGGCACCTTGAAGTTCTCAATTATGAGCCTTAATTTTTTAAAAAATTTTCTCTAAAGCTTTAAGTAGTGAATTCTCATGATTAATCGGCTCTTTGTTGTACAGTTTTAGCAATAGCATTAATGTTTGTGGTTAGAGTTGCTCTCCAACTCTCATAATGAGAATCACATATTCTCACTAGGAGAATGTTGGGGGTTGAAGCTTCAGTGTAAAACCATTTCTGAGGGGTGGAAATCTTTTATCATGGAGTCCCTAAATCACAAAATCTGGGGCTTGAACACATGTAGAAGGCATCTAGCCCTCATCACCATCTCAGTGTCCATCTAAAGCCCTGAGAGGGGAGGCATTTTGGCCAAGGTCACTGACCTCCTTCAAGCTAGTCCTTCCTGAGACAGCAGATGATGACATAAATAAATGTGTGGAGAGAAGTATTGACCTCTCTCTGACCACTGCTCTTGTAATTAAACAGAAACATTAACATAAATCAAATGGTCTTTCTACCACTATTATTGCTAACAGTACACTCTGTCCATGGAAGGTGGAAAAGCATCGCTCTCAGGCCTGCAACAAGCCACAAAACTTGTGAATGCTAATGAACCATCACTTCAGCCAATTAAGAGTGGAAGCAAAACTGTCTTTAATGAAGGCTTCAGGCATCTCATGGGCTCTCTCTAATTCACACCCAGGAGTACCCCTCTGGACCCAGTTGCCATGCTCTTGGAAAGCAGTAAACCAACTCTGTGTAAAACAAGCCTGACTCGCTGTCAGGAGATCTGGTTCTGGTCTGAGTTAGGCCACGGACTGAGTAGGTACTGTTTCATCTCTGGGACTCAGTTTCTTCATCAGTAAAGTCATCCTTCTCATTCTCTCATATTCATCAAACACTTTTTAGGCATCTACTATGTGCTGATCCCTGCTGCTAGGCATGAGGGACACAAGGGCCATTAAGGTTCAGTCTCCACCCTCCAGTAGCTTTAAGGACAGCGGAGGACATGCAGTGGAACAAGAGTTGTTCGATAACCAGGCCTGCTTGCTACAGTGGCTCATGCCTAGCTACTTGGAAGGCTGCAGTGGGAGGGTCATTTGAATCCAGGAGGTCAAGGCTGCAGTGAGCCATGATTGCACAACTGCACTCCAACTTGGGCGATGGAGCACAACCCTGTCTCAAACAAATAAACAAATACACAAACAAATAAATAACCAGGCCTGTGAGAACTCAGAGAAGAGAGTGGCCAATTCTGTTTGGGGTTTAAGGGGATGTTTTCCAGAATAAGGAACATGAACTAAGTTGCAAAGAATTAATGGGATGAAGAAGGGATGAGGGGTTTCTGGTGAGCAGGCAGCCTGTATGAAAGTAAGGTATCAGGAACCAATAGGACATGTCTGGGGAACTGGGCTTTGCTCAGTGCAGCTACAGCACCTGTTCTAGGAGGAGAGGAGAAGAGGTGAGGCAAGATGGTTGACACACAGGCAGCAGGGCAGACAATGCCTTGCATGCAAAGCTGGGGGGTCTGAATGTCATCTTGAAAGTCTTGGGCCTAAAGAGCTTGAAAACTGTATAATTTGGATGGTGAAGTTAGTCAATGATTTATGGGCTGTGTGACTTTGGGCAAGTCAGTTACCTTAATGTGAAATAAGGGCAATAACACTATCTATCTCAAATGAGCCATTGTTCTTTTGGCAGATAATCTTCTGGGCAGTGGAATTTTAGGCTGTAAATTATGGTGCTAAGCCAGGAGAAAGGGAGTTCAAGATTTGAGTGCATGAGTGAGTGTGGGGCTGGCTGGTATGCCAACAATGAAGAGAAATGCTGTTCAGATGTCCTGGGATTCTATTCTCCTTCATCGATATTCTCCAAGAAGAAACACAACAAAAGAGTCATCATTATAACTACCACACGATATTCTGCAAAGCACATTCCTTCCCACCATTTCTTTTGAAGCTCTCACAACTGCCCTTTCAGGTAAGTAATTATTGTCTCCATTATGCAAGAGGAACTGAGCATCAGAGAGGGAAAAGTGGATCCCCCAAGGTTATACAAAAAGTAGATGCCAAAACTGAAAACAGGTCTCCTGATTCCTGGCCCAGTGAGCTCTCCAGAAAACCCCAGCAAGTGACCTTAGGTGGCTGTGCATGAAACAGCCAAAGCTAATTAACCACATTCTCAAGAGCCAGGGAGAAACTTTCTCTAATGAACTCATGGGCAGCCTCAAAATTCTTCCTTAAAAAATATATCCCATATTTTTTCTTGCTTCCGTACCACCATCCTATGACTACCTGCTTCCAAGCATTCTCCCCAGTTGCTTACCTGTAATTGCCCAGGTAGACTCCATCAGGATTGAGCATTGGTGCGATCTTGAAGACCAGGTATTCTCGGAGGACACGGGCAATAGGGTGCTGGCTTATGAGGAAGTCAATGATCCCTAGGGAAAGAGAAGAGTCAGGTTTAACAACAAAGCATTTCAAGAAGAAGGAAACACATTTTTCTCAGCTTGGAAAATAAGAGGAGCTCAATAGGTGATTTTGGCCTGTGTTGTTATTGGCCACTGTGGGTGTGTGGTTATAGACTACGTGTTATCTGTATAAAATATATTTACAAATACATTTGCATTTCCAAGAGACAGTTGACGACGTAACATTGAAGCCCATGGGCAGTAGGGAGAGAGCATTTCCTGCTGTAGAGAACTGGGAGGGCTTCCGAGAATGATGACATTTGAGCTGTGCTTTGAGAGCCCACCGAGTTTCGTCAGACAGAGATGGGGAGAGGTGGGCCAGCGCTATACAGTGAACTAAGAGATGCTTTCTAATAGGCACACTTAGTTAAACATTGACATCAGATGTGATAATCACAGGGTCGAGGTCCTTAGGGATTTAAACGCTCATTTAGCTGATAGGCACATCAAGAAGCAGAGAGGAAAAGCATTTCAGCCAAAGTCACATGAGCAGAAGGAGGTTTCTTTCATGTATTCCAAATGTGCTTGTTTCCCTATTTTGAAGATCCTCTGTTCCAGGATTCCAGGGATGATTGCCCTCCCGGCTTCTCACTGGCACTAAAATCACCCTGCCTTCCAGTCACCAAATTTAGAAATTTGTCTCCATGACATTTTTCCTACTGCCAGGCAGTCCCCATGTCCCTTTCTTGAATGGAGCAAATCTTCCCCTCTTCTCCATCCCACTGCCTGTCTTCTAACCCAGGCTACCATCACACCTGGCCTGGATAACAGCCACCACCTCTGAAATGAGCCCTCATCGCAGCAGCCAGAAGGATCTTCTGAAAGTGTGAATCTGATCCTGTCACTCCCTCCTTGATATCCTTCTGGTTACAGCCTGCATCTACCCATAGAAGAGGGGTGAGAAAACAAATAACTCTCTTATCTCCCCCACGTTTCTACTCTTTCATCAGATACCTGAAAAAGAAAATGGGCAAAATGGCACTCTAGCATTCCATGAAATTACTATAATGCCAGAAAATGATAGGAGAATGACAAACCCTCCCACAATACAGACGTGGGGCCCCATTCCTGTTGGAGAGAGCAAGAAAGGCATCAAGAAGGAAACCTTTGAGCTAAGCCCTGTCAGAAAGGTAGGTTTTGACAGATGGCAGGAGGAAGGCAGCAGGGTAACTAAGAACAAGTGCCCAGTGCAGGCACTCAGCTCTTGGAATGATAACTCACTCCAGAGCACATTCCAGAGCTTCTGTGACCGGTGAGGGACATCTCAGACTTTTCATTAGGCCAAGGTTGAGAATCCATAGGCAGCCGAAAGCCAGTTGGACATCATTTACTTCTCGGCTAACGCGGCAGTAGACCAGATGCCCTAATTTATTTGTTGGTCCTCATATTAAAGCTGCAGTTTGCCAGTAAACAGGCAGGGTAATGATGCCAGGCGCCCTTGTTAGGGGCTAATAATTGCTTAATCTGTCCACTAATTGACCCCGGCTCCCGGGGTGGCCCTCCATCAAGGAGCCAGCCCACGCTCAGGGCCTGGCCACACTGCCTCAGAGAATGGCTTCTGGAAATGGAGTAGCTTATTGTGATCCATCCTCCTTCACAGATGAACAGATTAATTGGGCTGCCAATTAGGCAGCTAATAAAAGAATGAGAGAAAACAAAGGCAGACCAGAGGCTGCAGCTGCCCAGAGCTCCCTCTCCTAGGGTGGGTGTGGGGCAAGGAGAGGGGAGGTTTTAGACTCATCTGTTGGTTTGAGGTCAGATACAATTCAAAATCATTCCCATTCATCAGGAAATAAGGAGATCTTTCTTTTCTTTTACTTTTTTATTTATTATTATTATTATTTTTTTGTGGTGGGAGAGGAGTATGAGGAAGACTGTGAGGGCATGTAAGAGTGGAGAGAAAATGCCATCCTTGGCCAAGGGCCAAAAGCACTGGATGGACCAAGAAAGCAGAGGGACCAGGGGAGCAGAAAGTCTCAGGACCTGAGTTCAAATCTTAACTGAGTGTTAGCTAGAGAAGTTACTGACTAGCTTTCCCTGACTAGTTTTCTCTTCTTGATATAGGGATAATAATACCTAATCTGGAAGACTGTTGTGTACTTGTGTTAGAGATCCTGTGTTAGCTGCCTAACACAGTACCTGAAAATTGTGGCATGCTTCCATAAACTCACTTAGATCAAAGGTTGAAAGGCAATGGGTAGTTAAAAACAGGATTAGTTTTAGAAGTAGGAGACCTAGTCTGCGAAGTTGACTAACAATGAAATTTGGAGACAAGGATACTGAATGGCAGAAGCCAACAAATCAAAACAGAGCCTGGGTTCTAGTTTTGGCTCAGTTACTGGGTGACCTGTAGAAAGCCTCTGGGTCTATGCTTATTTTTAAAATTAGGAGAAAGAACTAAATAATTCTCAAGGATACATCCCACACTGACATCATATGATTCCATCTATTTTATTCCTCTCCACCAAAAGTAGAAGCATCATCTGTCAGGTGAGGAGAATAATCTCCCTCCTGCTGGAAGACGCCATCAACCTCCTTGAGATCAGCCTTTGTCCCTTCTGTAAACAAGTTTGCCAGGTCCTCTTCTTCAAGCTGATTTAATCAGGAAGCTGGGGAAAAGGCAGGTCGACAGGGAGGTTGGAAGCCAGAGAGGCCAGAAGAGATGGAAAAGTGGTAGAGGATTTGATATTAAAGCTGGAAGTTAGAGATCACTACCCTGTCCCAACTTCCCACAGACCAGGATGAACCTCTCTAGCCAAACCTCAACTGAGGCTGATATTTATTGTTAATTTTTTCTCCTAGAGTGTTTGGTTTAGGACTGGGCACATAGTAGGTGCTTACAAATGCCTATTGATGGATTGCTCCAGGAATTCATACAACTTTGACTGTGTGGGATTAGTTGAACTGATCATCACTCATTTCATTCTACAAACATTCATTGGCACACCAAATTCTGGGCATTTCAAGATGCCTAAGATGGTCCTGCCTCAGAGGGGTGCACAGTAAGGAAGCAACTCCCCACTGACTGGTAAAGGCTCTGATGGGAACAGCACATAGCTGTGGGGACCCGGCAGGGGCCTGGAAAGGGGACTTAAAAAATGAGTAGAGTGGAGCCAGATGAAAGAGGTGCCAGGATGCAGCCATAAAAAGAATAAAATCATGTCCTTTTCAGCGACATGGATGCAGCTGGAGGCCATTATCCTAAGTGAATTAACACAGAAACAGAAAACCAAATACTGCATGTTCTCACTTATAAGTGGGAGCTACACGTGGGGTGCACATGGACACCAAGGGAACCATAAACCCGGGATTCATAAAGAGGGGCAGGAGGGAAGAGGCAAGGGCTGAAAAGCTACCTATCAGGTACTATGTTCACTGCTTGGGTGATGGGATCATTAGAAATCCAAACTTCAGCATCACACTATTTACCCACGTAACAAGCCTGCTAATGTATCCCCTGAATCTAAAATTTAAAAATAAAATAAAAAGAAAGGGGTGCCAGGGAAAAGTGTCCAGGCCGGGGTAAGAAAAGAGATGGTCTGTCGGTAACGAAAAGCTTTTCAATTCCAGGGCCTTGGCTTCATGGTCAAAAGCACAGACTCTGAAACTGGATCATCTGAGTTTGACGCCTCTCTCTGCCAGTCATTTGCTGTGTGGCCTTAATGTCCCAGTTCCCCAGGTTCCTCATCAATTACAAAGGGGAGAATAAGAATTACTTCTGGGTTCTTGTGAGGATTTACATGAGATGATATAAGCAAAGTGGTACACAGTAAATGTATACATGCATTGTTTTCATCATTGCTCTTTATTGGCTTGCTGTAGGCATGGGAATGGAGAGATGAACAAGGATTTGCTGTTCCAGCTGAAAAAACCTGAAGGGGACTATAGAGCTATTGCCAGGTTTTCAGCCTGGGTCAGATATGGTCTTTGGAGAGCTCCGTCTGGCTGCAGCATGGAATGCTGCTTAGAGGCAAGGAATACTGCAGGGCAGGGCCTCCTGAAGGCAAGACAGAGGTGGAGGTAGGGTGCAGGCATAGCAGAGAGAGCTGGCAGAGGTAAAGCAGCCTTCTGTCAGGAACCAGGGTGGAACATGGTAGTGACCTGCAGGGGCTCTGCAGCAACCAAGGCCCAGAGAGTCATGAGGTGCAGTGGGTGGAAAGCAAACAGTGTGGATAGATGGTGCCACCAATGATATGATGATTTGCCTGCTACCCTGAGAGCATCAGAACTCTTTGCTGAAAGCACCCAATCTTGAGGAACATAAATGAGTTTAAGTTTCTGGCCCCTGGCAGGAAGGGGCCTCAAAATAGAAACTGAATTCAGTTATAGAAAAAGAAGAAAGTTACATTTCCTGCACTTCTCTTTCGGGATTGAGGCTTACTTCAACTTACACTGTGGTTTAAGTCTGTCTTCCCTCCAGGCCATGAGCTCCAAGACAGCAGAAACAGGTCTCCTTTCTTTGCCACTGTATTTTTAGTGCCCAGCTCAGTGCCTGGCACAGGGAAAGTACTCAAGACCTATGTATGAAGTGAGTGAATAAAGATCGACCCATGACTAACTACTGTACATTCATTAGCCGGACTGACTTGTAATTCTATTGGCTCCATTTCACAGACTGGGAAAGAAAGTCAGGGTGTGGCATCACTTGCTGAGTGCCTCACAGGAACCTAGTTGGGATTCAGACCCAGTTCTGCTGGCTTCAGAGCAGTGCTCCGTCCATGAAGACAAGATGCAAAGAGCAAGGAGTCTATTTGCATGTGATTTGTGGAATAATTTGCATATGCCTGCATGATTTTCTCTCTAGAGAATTCTGTGCAAAATTTATTGTTTCTGTTATCTGTTCAGAGGCAGCATACTGTAGTGGGAAGAGCCAAGGTTTGAAGCAAGACAGTTTGAGGTCTCTGCTTGGCCCAGTGTGTGATTTGCACAATAGCAGCCACTCTAGGCCCTCCCTTGACCTGGCACAGGACCCCTGTCTGCCCTCAGCTGAGTCCAAGGGCCTCGAATTATGGACTCAAGGGAGTCTGCCCCTGATGACCCTAAAGTTCACAGAGTATAAGTCCTCACCCTCCTGCTCCCAACTCTGCCCATTTCACAGATGAAGAGACAGAAGCCTAGAAAAGTGAAAGGCCCGGTCACAAACCCTTAGTGGATGTAGCACCACACCTATAGTGGGAAGCTGTTTGGGATATTGAGGAGAAGAGGAAGAACAGGTGAAGAAGAGAGGTGGGAGGAAAGCAGAATGGGGGAGGAGCAAAGGTCACTACCTCATTTACAGGAAGTACGAAGCTGTGCTTGGTCCCAGTGTCTGGAGATATTGGTAGTTATGAGAGCATGGTGTGTGCATGTGTGTGTGTGTGTGTGTGCGTGTGCACAATCCTCCTTCCTCCTCTTACTCCCACAAAATAACCCTGAGGAGTGAACTTCTGGGAGAGGGCCAGCTCTTTGTCTCCATAGTCTAGGCCCTGATGGGCACCTTGGCATGTAGCAGCAGGGCTCAGGCTGGGAGGCAGGCGATCTGGACCTAGTCCCCACTCCACCACAAACTTACCAGGTGACATCCAGTGAATCCCTGGACTGTTCTGAAAATAAGAGCTGAGAGCTGCCTAGTGACCTGGTGGAATTTCTGTGGAAGAGCGAAGGTGAAGAGGGGTGTGTGGGTACTGGTCAGGCACCTATCTGTGCCTGGTGCTGACCCACCATTGACCTACATTATCTCATGAAACTCTCTCAAGCAGCCCCTTGAGAAAGACATTGCTGTCCCCATTTTGCAGGTAGGAAATAGGGGCTATGAGAGGCAAGGACTTAGAAAAGTCCCCTAGCTAGATGGAATTGGTAGGCTCAAACTCAGGCCCATCAAACTCCAAAGCCACAGCTGTGCCCACTTCCCCTGCTGCCCTCCAGAGCGTGGCGTGGCTCCCCACAGTAGCATTTCATAAGTGCTGGTTTCATTAATTCAACGATAAAGGGTCTGGAGAGGACAAAGTACTCTACAGATGGAAATTTTCAATGAAAGTTGGCCCCAAAGTCCCAGGAAGAGTCAGTGAAAGAGCATACACTTGACCAGGAGTCAGAAACAAGGTCAACAAGGTCTAGGTCTGGTTCAGGCCAAGCTCCTGGCTTGCAAGGTGACCCTCCAGGTGAGCAGAGCTCAGCTAGTGGCACTCTCAGGAAGGTGACGAGGAAGAGTTGAGGCCCACAGTCTGGGAGGCCCACACCTGGGTTTGGTTCAGAGAAGGATTAGAGGAACCACGTACAAAGTGCCTCACGGAGGCCCTGGCACCGGCCACGCGCTCCATTAGTGCTAGCTCCTCCCCTACTACTGGAACTTATTTAGTGCTTTCTCTATTCCAGACACCATGCTAAATGCTCGATGGATATGAACTGTGTCCGTCTTCACAACAACCCTGTGAGGCAGGATTTCTATTATTATTTCCCTTTTGAGATAAAAGAACTGAGGCATAAGGAGATTTTCTGGTTTTCCCAAGGTTACACTGTAGTAAGGGGAGGAGCTGCAATTCATGCTTAGCAGTGTAGCAGCTTGAGGGATGGCGCTCTCACATGACTGGCCACAGGTCCACACGGGAGCTCCTCTGACCTCTCCCATGGTCACTGGAGAACAGGATAGTTTGGCCTCACAGAGGTCATGAGCAGCGTTTGGGGTAGCAGAGTAAGCATCCTACCAACAAGCAGAGTCTTGAGGAATCCGAGCCCTGCCAACCTTACTGCCACCCCTTCTAGAGCTATGTGGCGACAGGACTTCACTCTACTCCCAGCAGCACATGCATCAGCAGCTCGGCGGCAAGAATCGTGGTCCCAGCCAGATTGTCACAACTGGCCTCACATGCCTGTTCCCTGCTCAAGGTCACTGAGCCAGTTAATGTGGAAGAGTTAACAGAACTGAAGGTATCTCAGCATCTGTCCACACCTTGGACCTGCCTGCTATCCCCAGAAGAAGGTGGGCTGATGGGGGCTGAGGGATGATGGACAAGTTTAGGACTATGACTGAGGAAGAAACCCCCAGCTGTGCCCTGTGGGGCTGTGATCGGGCTGTCTACATGTAGCTGAGACACCCTCAGGAAAGACCATGCCTCAGTCCTACATTAGTAAAGTGGGGTAATGATGCCTCTTACACCTGCCTCAAGGAAGTATGAATTGTGTGTCTCATGGGGCAGATACAGAGGCAGGGAAAGATGAGAAACAGGACTGGGGAGATGGACTCCAGAACCACACTTATGGTGAATTAGTCGTGTGACTTTGGGTAAGCCATTGTACTTCCCTGAGGCTCCGTATCCCGATCTGTAAAATGCACATCAATTGTTGTGGGGTGGTCAGAACTCTGAGTTTTTTCAGGTACAAGACTTCACCTTCTAGTAGTTCCCATCCCTGAGTGGGACAAGGGAGCATGTACACCCTTGGGAGTTAGCTAGACCTAGGTTAAAAGCCCCACTCCACTATTTAATGACTGTGTAACCTTGAGGCTGCTCTTTGTGAGTTCAACACAGCATTTGTTCCTCACAACAGCCCCATAAGATGAACAAGATAACCCCATTTGACAGATGTGGAAAATGACAGTTGGAGACCAGTCCTAGACCTTATACAGCTTGTGGTTTAAAGGGGGAAAAACAAATATAAGTCAAGTATATGATAATAAATCAGGGCAATAGAGATGACCATTATCAATAAAGATGATGGCCGTCTTTAGATCCACAATGCAGGCACAACGCAGGTGGCAAGAGGGAGTGCACCAGGGGAGCCCACAGTGGGGGCACTTAAAATTAACCCTGTGAGATGGACGGGGCTTGCCAGGTGGCAAGGAGCAGGTGTAGGGCCTGCTAGGCGGAGGGAGCAGCAGGTGTAAAGGTGCACTGGTCAAGAGAAGACTGCTCACTCAAGGTTTCAGCTATGTGGAGCTGAGTGTATGAGGCTGAGGCCAGAGAACCAGGTGAGAGCCAGATGTCAGAGGGCTGGGAATATCATGCCTGGGAGTTGGAGTTTATTTTGAGAAGCCAGCAGGCAGGCATTGAAAGACTCTGTCAAGGAATAGACATTTATTGAAAACCTACAGAACGCCATTAAGTGTATTAACTCAGCACCATCCAAAGATTCCCTTTTAGTAAACAGGGTCATCAGAGAGCACCTGAGATCCATTCAATTCCTCCGTGCCTCAGTCCTTATCTGTGAAATGGGATAGTGACCCTGCTCTCTGTCTACTGCCCACAGGAGAGGTGAGCACGGGGTCTGGGCTCCTAGAGATGAACATATTGATGGTAAGTCTACTGTCTTTTTACAAACAAGGACAAAGCAGTTACATCCAATCAGCTGGGGGAAGAGATCTGCTGCCAAGTTTAGTAACTGACAGATGGCTGCAAGTAAAGGGGTTGGTAAACCCAGGAGGGACCTCAAGGGTTACTGCAAGGACAATGCTGGGGAGGAGGAAGGCCAAAGTGAGAATGCTAAGGAGTCGGCTGTAGCGACTGGAGCCTCAGCCATGCATCTTACAAGCTGCTTGGCTTTGGGCAAGTCACTGCCTCCCTGAAACTCCGTCTCCTCATCTGAAAAAAAGAGGAAGGCAATCGTGCCTAACTAAAGCATTGTAAGAATACGAACTGGGAAAATAAAGCCCATATTTATTTGCACAGTGCTTGATAGTTTACTAAGCAGATTACCTGCTTCATCTTCTCAGATTCCCATGGGGAAGGAGGTAACATCTGCTGAGTGCCTGCTGTGTGCCAGGCACAGGACTGGGTATGCTGTTTACGTTCATCTCATGCCAGCTTCATAACAACCTGCCTGGGTAGTATTGTTTTATATTTGAGGAAACTGAAGTCACAGTGCTGGAACGTGGCACAGCCAATACCTGACCTCAAGATTGCCTGATTTCAAATCCTCAGAGGCTTCCACTGCAGTGTGCCACCTCCCTTGAGTTATAGAACCTCCACAGGCGTTTCATATCTCTTTGACCTCATGGTCACTTTGAGATTAAAATGAGATAAATTACTTAACTTCTCTAAACTTCAGCTTGCTCAACAATATACATATATATTGCTGACTATAGCTGACTAATTAAATATAGTATGAATGAAATGTTTAATAATAAGAGTGCAATTATAAAGAGGAACACTTGAGAATAAAAACTATGACTTACTTGCCTCTGGTTGTCTGATACCACGTGTGCTTACTCTTGGCAGGTATTTCAAAAGTTGTTTAAGTGAATGATTGAATGAATGAGTGAAGAGATAGTTCTCAGTCATTACCTCCCATTTCACAGCCCTTCTGCCAACATACACATTGATCTAGGGCCAGATTTCTTGCTGTTGTAAACCACTGGAGACAAGTAAAGCTAGGGAGTGTAGGTGATTCTGTATGGCTCTTCCTCACCACAGCACATATAAGATAACTTCACAAGATAACTTCATTCAGCCCTCCCTGTTCATTTATCCATCCATCCATCTATCCATTAATTAATTAATTAATTCATACATACATCTAGTCAATAAACATTTATTGAAATACAACCTAATGGAAATCAGGTACAACCTCTTTAAAGAAATGCATTAAATTTCCATTTAATCTTAAAATGGTTCTGCATGTGGTCACACTGTCCCAGAGATCATCACAGTGTCCCAGTTGGATGTGGGTATAGGCATAGGACACCTATGAGATCCTGCCACTCACCTTGGCACACGAATGATGAGGGTGTTTCCCCTGGGTGGACTCGACCTGTGATGAATACCACCTTCTGCTCTGCCCCTTCCCGGAGATTGTCTGTAAGATAAAATGAAAGATGGTTGCTAATGAGGGCAAGGAAAGCTGAGTCTAGTGGTTGGTGTGTGGCAGGGAACCCCAGAGGGAATGGGCTGGATGCTTAACATTTATCTCTTAAATCATTGGGTTAGAATCATTAAGTCCAGCCATTGCTGACTAATTTAATTATGTCCCTACCCAATATTAAAAGACTGCATTCCCTTTCTTTGGTGCAACTGATCATATTATATTAATATGTACTATTTACAATCATCCAAGGAAGCCACATGAGTGAAGCTGAATCCCAAATCCATTGACTGTGACCTTAGGCAACTTGTGTATCCTTTCTAAGTTTCCATTTTCTAATCTACAAACAAGGATGACAATATATCCTTGTTTATCGATTATAAACAAGGATTTTAAGAGGGTTGTTGTGATGATTAAACAGGCTTACACATTGCATAGTACACCGTAAACATTCAGCAAATGATGGAGTAGAGAAGGTGGCTATTTATATATTAGTAATAGTAGCATCTGCCATTTAATTAGCTCCTTTTGTGTTGGCACATTATATACATATATAATCCTTACAGGAACATGCTGTTAATGTGTTTTTTTCATAGAGGCAGAAACTGAGGCTTATGGAGGTTATATAACTTATTCAAGGTCACACAGCTGAAAAGTGGTGGTAGGAGCTGAGATTAGAGCCCAATCCCTTGTCTGGCCTTCATTTGCCTTTTATCTTAAACAACTAGAAAATTGGACAAAATATTCATCACAAGTATTTTCAGACATTGAACAAGGCCAATGCAAGATAATCAATGAGAGAAGGAAAATAAATGAGATATGCCCTACGATTGCCCTGACTTTTTGCCTGATGATCCCTTCTAGACTAAAGGGCAGGGAGCTATTCCTGAGCAAAGCATAGAAGCCTCACTGAGATTCAAGTTCAACAGGTAGTAGCTGGGAAATTCTGGGAGCACCAGAGATGAGGAAGCTCTGCAGAAAAAGAGTTCCAGAAATTTGTACAGGAGTCCTCTTGATTCTTTGTTGGATTCTAAGATGTGCATACATAGGGTGACTCTCCACGACGTCAGGAAAAAATGACCAGGGAGCTGTGAACTGCACAGTCCTTAGGGGTCACACAGGGCTAAGAATCGTTTGAATTCCCACAGCTAAAGAGGAAGTCCTCACTGATCATCTAAGGAGAATGAGAATTCAGATAGGCAATGTCTTAGTGGTAGGGATAAACTACTCTAGACCACCACATTCACAAAGCTTTAAAACAAGTCTCAGAAGGATCAAACTGAACAAAAGAAACTTAAATTCTTGCTGTTCAAAGTCCAACTCTCTTTCAAGGAAGACGACAAAATCCAGACAGTTAAAGCAATGTGTAATTTGCAATATCCAGCATCCAAAATTATTAGACATGCAGAAAAGTAGGAAAATGTGGCTCCAAATCAGAACTCAAGCTCTTTCTGTCTCTACGGAAGTCTAATTTGTATAATAAAGTTGAACTATTGTGCAAAGATATCATCAGACAAAAGCAACAGCCAAGGATGGCATTCCCAGTAAGAAACGTCTAGGGAAGGATACTCAGCAGTGGGCAGAAGAAGGGCTGATTGATACAGAACACAACAATTACCTGAAGGAAACTTAGAAAGGAACATTGAGAGAGGCTGAACTGAAGGATTTTATCAATGTTTGAGGACAATCTGGAGGGAGAGAATAGAAATAATTAATAGGCTTTCTCCTTCTGAAATGCTGGAGACATGCTATTTTGAACGTGGTTCTTTATCCCAACAGTCAATGAACCAATGTCAGAGATGAAACTAAAAATATTAACCCTATTAAATCTGGTTCTAAAGGCTTGGGACTTGCTTGTCCATTGGGATGATCAGTATGGGTGGAGTCACTGCTTCCCCTGAAATGCAGCAAGAAATATCATGGAACCAAAATATAGTCTTGAGAACTCACTCTGCTCAGCTCTGTGCTAGGCACCTTTAGGAACAAAGGGAGAGAGAGAAAGCTCACCTGCCCTGAAGAAGTTTATTATTTAAAGAGGAATTCGACACCTAAACATTCCCTGGACTGAATATAAGCTCCTCAAGGAAAAAACTGCGACTTCCATGGGTGTATGGCTAATGTCTTTCCCAGGACCCTGCAGGGAGTAGGTGCTCAAGGACTGACTATTGAATTAATAAACAAAAATACTTGTGTAGATGATGGTTTATAAAGAAATATAGGCTCATATTGTTATTTAATCTTTATCATGCCTCTGTGAGGTGGACAGTATGAATTCTATTTTATGGGTGAGGAAATGAGGCTCACAGAAGGAAGGGACATGCTGAAGGTCATTCAGCTAGCAGTGGTAGAGTTAAGTCCCAGCACCCAGCCAGTGGCCCTTTCACTACCCTGTTTCATTCTGGATCCACTAATAACAATAGAAGATCCCCCTTCTACTGCATTTCCATCTACAATTTACACAAGAGAGCTTGATTTTATCTTATTATGATGGAAATTGAGCTGCTGTCTTAGTATTTATATCGCTTTTTCACTTAAAAAAAATCACCAAGCCCTTTTAAAAAACACTGTCTAACACTGACCCCATCTATCCCAGCAGTCCAGAAATGATAAATGGCACTAGGGAGGCCCTTGGTGAAGGCTAACTTTATGGATGTCTCCCCTGACCCAGTACCAAGTCAATTGCATTCAACATTTCTGCTGACCACAGGGAAATGCAAAATGGGCATTCTATTTGCACACTAATTTTACTGAGCCCTTGCGTCTTCATAAAATGATAACATGGGGCTAATAAAAATCAAGCATCTCGGGTGCTAATATAAGCAAATGTTGATGTAGGCAGGTAACAAATTGCTTTGTCATTTAGAAGGCCGTAAAAGAGCATTATAATCATCTTCAGGCAAAATGGATGGGTCGCCTTTGCTTAGCTTTTAGCTTTCATTTGCAAAATCAATTTAAGGTAATGTAGCAGCTCTGAGGTGATGACTACCCCACCCCTTCCTGTCACCAAATCTCCAGACTCTGTGCAAAGCCAATTAAATGTATTCTTGGTGGAGGTGGCACAGATGAAGAAGAAAGTATGCTTGAACAAAGCCAGGGTGGAACAGAATGCAAACAATGATACCAAGAACAACTCATAAGAGATGGAACAGCTAAAGAGCTCATGTAGGCTGACATGCTCAAGGGTACAAAGGCACACTCAAAAAACACTGGGGCAGCTCCCCTTGGCTCCCCAGTTAAACAGCAGGTGTTTGAAGTAACATGTGCTTTGTATGGCATCCTTAACATGCATGTGCACACACACATATACAGACACTCCTTTGTCATTACAACACTCTATCGTCTATTATTTCCTTAATCGTCACATATTTATTGAATACCTATTAGATGGCCAGGCACTAGCTATTATTATTTTCATTTTACAGAAAATCAAGGGCAAGAGAGTTAAGTGATTTGCCCTAGTTCTTACAGCTAATGTGGCAGAGCCAAAGTCCCAAACCAGATAGCCTGACTCCAGAAACTGTGTTCTTAACCTCTATATTATACTGTCTTCTAGAAAGGAGAACAATATCATCCCATTGAAATGGCAATTAAGTAATATTTATGTAGTACTTATTCTTTGCCAGGCAATTTACATGCATGATATTATTTAATTCTCAAAGCAACCCAATGAAACATCTGCTATTCTTAGACTAGACTCTTATAGATTAGAAAATTGAGATACAGAAAGGTTAAATGACTTGCCTAAACTTGCATAAGTAGCAAATGTGGGAGCCAGAATTAAATGTAGGTCTTTATGATTCTCAAATTTGTGCTCTTAACTATTGTGTCATATTGACTTTTGGAGATTAAAACCACCCTATAGGGTTTTTAAAAATACATCCACAAATTCTTTGTTCATTTCCTCCTTTCAAGAGGTGGAGATGTACTCCTCTCTCCTTCAGTGTGGGCTGGATTTAGAGACTTCCTTCTAACAAATGAAATACGATAGAAGTGATGGTGTGCCACTTCTGAGATTAAGGTATAAAAAGACTGTGGCTTCCATCTTGGGTGTGATATCTCTTTCTGGAATGGCTCACCCTTGGGGAAGCCAACTGCCATGCCATAAAGGCACTCAGATAGCCTATGGAGAAGCCCACATGGTGAGGTACTAAAGTGCCCAGATAGCAGCCAAGAGGACCTGTGGTCTGCCAAAGCCATGTGAGTGCATTTGGAAGAGGATCCCGCAGTGTCAGATGACTATAGCACTGGCTGACAGCCTACTGCAACTTCACAAAAGACCTTTGCCAGAACCACCCAGCTAAGCTGTTTCCACATTCCTAACCCACAGAAATGGAGACATAATAAATATTTGCTGTCTCAAGATGCTCAATTCTAGAGTAACTTGTTAGGCAGCAATAGATAATAGACATCTCCCTGAAGATAACTATATTTATCCTAGTTGCTATGTAGAACTTAAGTAACTTTGCATCTTATCTATCGATGCTGACTTTCAGTGAAGACCAAAGCCATAATCTTGGTGCCAAGATGTGGAGAATCTCAATCTATTTGGCCAGTTACTATGGATCTGTGGCTGGTAGAGGTAGATGCCAAGAGGCCCCAAAGAGCCCTAGATGGGTCTCTGAGGACAAAAATCTCCCAGAAGTTCATATTGTCAGTTTTGTTTCCACATCCCTCCAGACAATGACTTGTCATGGGGATTAAGATGTTAATGTGAAGGAAGAAGGAAATGCTACTGGGAGGGGAATGTGGAATGCTACAATGGGTGAAGGATTTGTTGTTGTTGTTGTTGACACCTGAGTCTTTTTCATTTCCTTGACTTCATTCCTGAAGGCATGATAAAGTTAAGAAAATGCCCTACTATGGGTTTCTAAACAGACAAGTTTCAGTCTTTTCTCCAATACTCCAGGGCCCAAACAAGGTTCATAGTACTCTTAAGCTGGAGAAACAAGACATCGCAGTGGCAACAACAGCACGGTTGGCTGGTATTACTCGGA